TCACGTGCAATCACACAAAATCAAGAAAAAAAGGATTTTAGCGGGCAAATTTGCCCGCTGGACGGTTTAAGGGATAACGTATTACAGGAGTAAATTAATAAATTGATATATTCTTGTAAAATCATACAGTAATTATGCCAAAATAAAACTCAAAAAACTCAATAGTATTTATTTTCACCTTTCCGCATATAGCAGTTAGATAAGAAATTGATATATTGATATTTTATATCCTTGTCTTGTACCTAAGTTTAATTGTTGAGGCTAAAAAAACCAGTCGACTTTAATATTAATACCGATAAAATCGAAATGTCAGATATTTGGAAATTATGAATTTTGTAATAAGTGAACCAGTTGCTGGATACAGTATTAATTTCTGAATTTGGCGACATATCAATACGTATGATACAGGTTTATTATTTAGTTACGTATTAATATAGTTCTTAATATGTGATTTGATAGTGATTATCGTTATGCTTAATCGTTAGTAGTGGGAAAACGTGATCACTTCAAATTTGTAAACAACGTCGATAATGTAAGGTTGTAGTAGTGCTTGGATCCGTTCAAAAAATCCGTTGGATTAGAATAACTATAATATATTTACAGATAGTCGGATATCTGTTTAACTATCCGATGCTACATATAAATAAATGGCATACATATTATATACGCGATTATAGAATTTTTCATATATGAGTGTCGCTAAAAGAAAACCCGAAAATTTAAATATAAGTCATATTTAAATTTTCGAGTTTTCTTTTAGCGACACTCATATATCTTATTAATAAAAATAGTATATATCTTGAGCGTGAAATTTTTTTTTTTACAACTTTTTATAATAATGGATAGCGAAAATTATTTACTCGAGAGAAACTTCTATGAGTCGCTTAAATAACAATGTTGTCGTGTATATTCAATGGACAATATTCAATTAAAAAAAAAGGATTTTCCAAGAAAAGAAGTTGGATATTTTGTCATAAAAAGAATTATTATGTTCAGAATTAACCGTATTTTGATTAATTCAACGGATTTAGTCGGATAATTTATGGCGGATATCTGAATTTTGAAGATTATCCAGTAAATAAACAAATGGATAGTCGGATATCCATTGGATCCAAGCTCTGCTTGTAAGTAATGTATACAGCTGTTTGTATAGGTGTAAGCTAAAAAAAAATTGCGAAAGTATATGTTTAGCAAAACTTATAACTTTGATTTTTTATAAGTTATCTCTTTTTAATAATCAGGGTCAGTTCTAATATTTCCCTTTTTTCACATTAGGGCTAGCATAAGTTATAGGTAAAATCTCTAAACAAGCTTATTTAGTACTACGCTGATGTTAGTTTCTAACAATTTGCTTGCTTTTTTTTTATTATAATTTAAATCTTACGGCTTAGCTTTTATTGAAACTTTGATGTTTTTATTATCTAACAATTATAGAAACCGTATTCTATATTCAGTACATGCTTAATTAGCTGCACTTCGAAGTTCAATTTAATTTAGAAATGCTGAACGTAAGGAAGTTCAATGCGCTTTAAAAAAAAAATTCAATTGTCGAATAAATGTTGTATTTATAGCAAAAAAAAATTTTTAAATTGCCAAGAAAAGTACATTATCGGAAATGCAAAAGATCATTGTTAGTAAATTACAATTTTGAAAAACAAAAACTCAACAATTCTGTCTATTAAATTTTCCCAAACCTACTTGTGTTCATTAAGCCCTTATAATCTTTCAAAATTGGATGACATTTCTTTAACGTTTATAAGCGTTTGAGAAGCATAATTATGCAATCTTCAAAGTATATAATGCTAAATTACTTGCGACAAAATAATTGCTCTAATATAAAAAAAAAGAATTTGCATTGTGTTAGCAGCTGTCATTCTAGTAGCCGTAAAAGTAAACACGTTATGCAATGTTGTTAATTTAATTCGTTTGCAGTGCACTGCATTATAAATAAAACTTAAAGTGTCTTAGACTGCAGAACAACATACTTGATAAAATAATATAAAATCCACTTAATTTTTTTTTTGTAAGTTGAAATTGAATTCTTTAATAATTTGAATACTATTTATCATTCTGTTATAACCTATGTTTTTGAAATCAACCTAAATGGACTCTAAATCCAATGATAATTCCTTTCTAACGTACAACATATGAGTGCCGCCAAGGATACAAAGTCTCTCCCCTGGTCGTAACAATAACTCGTAAAATTAAAAGCCGAAACATAATTCTTTTAATGATTTCGAAAATATAGCTTTTTTTGCAATATCTATATATATAATTAATAAAATGATGCATGAAAGAAAAATATTTCGATATCATCTTTTAAAAATTGTTTTAGTAAAAGTGAAAATTTTTTTATTGCGGTATAAATTTGCTAGCATATTACTTGAGTTCTATTCAATTGAAAGTAATTTAAAATAAATATCGTCAGATTAGCAATAATCACAAAGTCATATTACAGTATTATTACACTGTATACTATATCTTAACCATGCTATATATTAATTATTTAGTTGTTTTATTTTAAAAAAAAAGCAGTATACAAAGGCTTTTACTACATTTTGAAACCTATCTGACACCGGCTAAATTAGTACAAGTAATTAGAACATGCATTAAGGTAATACCAATAGAATTAATAATTGTAAAATAAAGAATTGAGTTTTATTGATAAAAATTAATAATTGTAAATAATTGTAAAATAAAGAATTGAATGTCATTGATAAAGATTTAAAATATCGATTTAAAATATCTTAGTGTAATATTGACCACTATCTTCGACCAAGAAATCTGGGTCCACTTTATCGTGTTCGAATGAATAAACTTCAACCTTATTAACACCAGCATCCTTCAGACTAACTCCTGTTCCGTTCAGATAACAAGGAACTATGTTGATATCATTATTAACATCAAAAATTGCAGTTGAATTTAACAAGCCAGTAGTAGGATTGACATCAAAAAATACGGTGGTACGTCTTGTTTCCTTTCGTATTCCCAATCGTTCCATAGCTGCTGTAATATCAACACTTCCCACGACATAAGTAGTATCATTAATTTGGTAAGGGTTAGGTCTACGCCACATGTTAACTAAGCCAGCAAAATGAGGCGAAGTTATTGGTGTCTCGACAGATGCACCTTTCAAGTCAACGAAGACTCTAATGACGTATGGTCCAACTAATTTACTCGCATCTATAGTTAATTTTGTGAAAAATCTGCGTCCATAATGAGGGTCAGGTTTATAGATTTTAAGAAGATATGCTTTTAATTCTCTTGGATCTTGACCTTTAAATTTCACCAATTCAGGATAAGTATATCCAAGTTTTTCTATATCTCGAACAG